AACAAGGGATCATTCCTTCATGGTCCTAAACTCTTAATCCCAAACAATTCTTACATGCTAATATGTTCATGAGTAAAAGAGAATGTATATTTGGTGAGAAACAAATTTAGGCAAGTTTTGTGGAAAAGTACAATGAGAGCTAAGGTAGTAAGTGTGATATTTTTAGTTGTGCCTTACACAACAGAAAAACGAGTTGTTACATTTTTGCAAAATACATTTAAAACAATTGTCTACTAAAGTAAATTCTGAACCATAAAAATAAAGTGTTTCAGGTTATCACAGCTCATGCTTACCTGTTTTAGCTATCTATTTCTTGGGGTTTTTTTTCAAAAATGAAAAGATCTTCTGTAAAGTGTTAAACATACTCTGAATTCTAGAGCAATTGTAGCATACAAACAAGCCATTTTTAAATTGTTTTTGTCAAGATATTTAAGTATTTCTATTTAACTGTTTAAAAAAGAATATCCCTCATAAAAAGATACCTACTTCATACTTGTGATGAAAACATCTTACTGTAATCAAGGAAGCAGAACAAATTAGGACAACGCACCTTTATCTATAGTGCCAGTTGAGCTAAGAATCACTGACTGTTCAATACCAGATAAGAAAGAGGTCAGTAACTTACTTCAATCAACCCGTTATAAAATCAAAAACAAGTACAGCCTTGCTAGCCTTGCTAAAAACCAGATGGCAACACTCAGCTGTGCTGTACTGAGTAATGAAATTAGGGGGGAAAGTTCCTCCTGCAGATGGCTCATGAATATGCAAAGTTTAAACATGCCCTGTTTAATATAACAGAGCAATCGATTCCTATCAATTCCATCCAAAAAAAACTGTTGCGTTAAGCAGGAACGCCTGATTTATCATTGCCAACAATTAACCTTACTGCAGTTAATGAGAATTATGACTTATTAGCAGAGAAGAATTCAGCTTTATAAAGGATTTTATAGCAGTCTGCAACAATATTCTAGAATTATATTTGCTGTAATGAAGGCTAAAGTGCTATGGCCTCAGAAATGTCAATTCTCTCTTACAGATGAGTATGGCACAAATGAGAAATTATATTTTACACAGAGCTTTAAATTCAAGTTTATTAAGAATGGATCACTTGATTGTAATTAATACATGCTTATTTCAGGTGTAACAATTTAATATATAAAAGAGCATGCTGTGATGATTCAAAGGTGGGGAAAAAAGATTTCATACATAACTGGGAAAATCTCACCTCTTTGTGATCTTCCACAACTGTTAGGATAGTGTCAATTGTGTGTAAAATTCCCATGGCCATAACTGTTTTGTCCTCCACCTCCTCATATTCTTCACTTTGAAGAACTTTACCAAATATCTCAGCCTGAAAAAATGAGTAGAAAATAAGCAGACTGCCAGATCTTCTAGAGGCATCTAATATTTCCAACTGTCCATATATAAAAACAAGCAGAAGTACCCTTTGACAGCTTATGAAAAGGTTGCAGTGCCTTCAGGTTATTAAAGTGCCTGTAGTAACGCTATCACCTCTATCAATACTAAAAAGTATGCTAGGTAGTTTTGCAAGGGAAGTTTAGAAAACTGAAATACTTTCCCCTATGTTATTGCTAACTGTGGTAAGCAGTAGGAAATGTTAAATAATCAAAGCTATTAAATACCCTGGATTGTTAAAAAAAAGCAGCAATCAAAACTGCCAGACTCCTGTTATATTATGTATTAAAGTACTTTAAGTTTATAATGTTTTAAAGAGAAATCATGTAGTTTAACCCTCCCCCCACCAATTTATGTTTTGTTACATTTTACAAAATAGATTATTGGTTGATATTTTTTAGGAAAGTGTTTGTTTTTTTAAATAGATTTAAGTTAGATTTTTTTAAACTGTCTTTGAAACCAGTGTGTATTTGGAGCTAAGCATTTACTTGCCCTATATTCAGCCCATGTGCGTGAACAGACAGCAAGCAGAACAAACTAGAACAAAACTAAGGGCACCTATATACATGGTCTGGGGTAGGGGGGAGTGAGGCGGCATTTTAATTAGAGGGGCTCTTGGAAGTTGCTCTAATTAAAACTCCCATAGCATCTCGTGTATTCAAAATGGCAGGACACTGATTACACAGGGTCACTTTAACTAAAGCTCATTTGACAAGCTTTAGTTAAAGCACCCCTACTGCCATTATGAAACACAGGGATGCTGAATACATGAGACGCTGCAGCACACTGGAGCGTTCTCATTAGAACGCTCCAACAGGCTCGATTAATCTCCGAGTCTTCTGATCAGAACTTGGAGCATGTGTAGAAGTGCCCTAAAAGACCAACTACATGACAAGCCTATTATTCAGCATCTGAGTTGAAATACAAAGTAGACAGAAAAAATTGTGATAATTAAATTTGATTTTAAAGAATCTTCACTAATCTATGGCATTACACATGACAGAGGTGGGATTTTTCCATTATTTTAAATCTGACAGCATCCCCTTAAACAAATTTAATTTCAGGAAAAAAAAATGCAGATCTCTTAAGTACAGTAGGCCTGCGCAGCTCTGATTGCAATATTGTTTTATACTTGTCTCTTACCAAGTGTTGTGTCATGTCAACAGCGATGGTAGCAACCTCCTGACTGTACTCACAGATCATCTTCTGGATAACGTTAGTAAGGTCATCATTTTCTGTCTCTCTAACTATGTGCAACAGCTCCTGCATAACAGGTCTGACATATGGCTTTACATACTCCTTGGCTAAAACGATAAGCAAAATTAGGAAAAAACAACAATCCATTGAAACAAATACACAGTCTATCCCAAAATCATTTAGTATCCTGCTGATCTATTAAGCAGAAACATTTAAAATAATTTCTTTTAAGTAAAAGACTACTTGACAAAGCTGAACTAATGGCAATTATTAGATTCAAAGTAATTAAATAATTTGTCTGCTTTTATAGCTCACATGTATAATTCTGTTCACAAAAATGCTCTACTTCCATGGGAGATGCATACCCCTACACCAAACGAAGGATTCTTTCCCAAGCATACCTGATGTTTCAATTCAAACTTAAAAAAATAAATATCATTTAGTTTGATAAATATAATGTGTTGAATTCAATTTTCTTGACACAAAAAGTATTTAGAAATACCTAAAGCAAACTGTAGCAACATATTGTCTATGTGGGAAAAATAATCAGTGTATACATGAATGAACAATTGTAACATACCTTGCTCCTGGTTACTTATTAGTGTTTGAAGCGCTATGGCTGCTTCTACTTTGACTGGCATTTCCTTATCATCAATTAGGCTCTTTTTTGCCAGCTCTACTGCATTTCTCAGGTTTAGTTCATTGTGGAATTTCAAAGTACTGAATGATCGAAGAACCCAACAGGACTACAGGCAAAAAGAAAATGAGTCAGAGCTACTGCAGTTCTGGCAACTGAAACATCACAGACAGAGCTCTTAATTGGTTTGCTCTTGTCGCTCAATCATTTTTATGTTTGCAGAGTATACATATAATAACATATAACTGGTAGGTTTCACACTAAAGTGTTCCTTCTCCTTTCCCCCCAGTTCATATAACAAACAACTAAACTTTTATCAGTTTGGAGAAAACTTTCAGTTCCTTTTTTATGTGATGGAATGTACACTTAAAAAGAAAATTCATAAAAATTATAGATTAATACAGGTACTAAAATGATCAGTTTAGAGTGATTCTCAACCAGGGAGCTAGGACACCTGGGGTTGACACCAGATCCTTTGAAGGGTGCAACAAGACATGGAGAAATATGCAAATAAGTGCAGGCACTGGCTTGTTCCTGCCTGGAGGATCTCCTTTCCCCACTGTCTGGTCCCTCTCCCAGAAGGTAAGCACTCTAAACTATTTTTGAAATTAGGTGCCACAATTCATAAAAGTTATGGAGGGGTGCCTTGACTCCAATGAGGGCTGCGTCAAGTCTAGTAAAAAGCGCCTGGAGTCCAAAAGGTTTGAGAACCACTGGTTTAGCAATTAAATCAAGTCTATTCTTAAAGTGGAATTAACTGCTTCTGAAACTTGTTTGTTTTTAATTCTGTCCAGTAGCTCAAACTAGAAATCTGCTGCTGAATAATAGTCACAGAATGAACTAACTCTACAGCTTACCGTGTAACTATGTTCAAGTTTTCTAGTTTGAGCTAAATGGTCAATGAAAATAGGACACTATGGAATTACAGGTAGTAATTTCTACCTACAAATCATTTTAGATCAAAATGGTAAAAAGCTACTGCTACTAGTGCTTAGAAGTAAATTTTTGCAAAGGGGGCAATAACAATGACTACATTTCAATCTTAATTACTCAGAGAGAAATTAACCTGTAAAGGAAAGAATCAAGACATATACTGTCATCTATAAAAGCACTGAACTTACTCTAGCTCTAAGATACCCCAAGTTAGACATGAACAATGGAAATACATGATTCTGTAGCATCAGTTCCATTTGATCCTTGAACACACTCTTCTGTTGGAGTAAACAAAAAAAATTAAGTTCCAATAGCCTTAAATTTTGATATATTTATTACTCAGCATTTATTTAGTCATCTTAAGAACTATAATACAAATGAATACCATAAATTTGAAACAGAATAACAATTTCCCTGCCTTCTTGTCAACTAGTTTATCCCATTAATACATGTAGGATAATTTCTAGAAGACAAATGATCTCACACATTGAGTTCATAGCATCTGATGAAGCAAATTGTCACCAATGAAAGCTTGTGCCTCTTTGAGCAAGTCAGTCTCTAAGATGCCTTTGTGCCCTGCCTTCTGCCTGACTTCAGACTAACAAGGCTGACTACTTCTTTCTCTACACTTGAATTCTAAAACCATTATCACAAGCAGCAGGCCCACCCTGGTAAGGAAAATATCTCATACCACTAGTTACTAAATCCATGTTATTCCCTCTCTTAAAAGAATCCAATTCAAGTTGATCTTTATTTCACTTAAAACTAAAAGAACAATGTCAACAATGCAGCACACTTGAAATACCTTACAAGCTACTACATGCATGAAAAAAGGAGAATGTACACTTGGTAAGAAGCAAATTTGAGTTTCAAGCTTCCTGCTGCTGTTATGAACCTTAAAACCAAATGATTTTCCCAGCTACAAAAATAACTTGTGCCTGTTTACATTTTCATTACTAGGGGAACCCCTTCTCCCTCCAACAATCTCTCGAGTGTGGGGTAAGGAAAATTTACTAGAAGTTTCCTCCACATCATACAGTCAAACCTGGCAGTTCCCAAGGTATTTAGTTGCTTTAGCAACTACTAAATGACTGCGCAGTACCAAAAGCAGAGTCAAAAGCATGTGTAGGCACACCCAGCGTGTATTAATTCAGCATTTCCCAACCAGTGTGCCATGGCACACTGGTGTGCCATCAGGCATGTCCAGGTGTGCCATGGCATTTTGGGCTGGAGCCATGCCCCTGGCCTGCTGCTGCAGACACAGAGAGACAGACAGTGTGGCTCCAGACGGGCAGGGGGGTAGCTCCAGCCTAAAATGCTGTCTGGCTGGCCGTGCACTACCCCTCCCTGTCAGTGTCCAGCTGGCTGTGTGCCATGCCCCCCCATCGGTGTCCAGATGGCCACACGCTACCACCCCCCGCCACCCCACCATGTCTGGTGTGCTATGGTGCTTTTTTATTCAGGTAAGTGTGCCATGGCAAAAAAGGCTTGGAAATGCTGTATTAATTTATGTGCAAACTCTCATGTTTGTCAACATACAAGTGAGGAGCTCTCAGCTTGGTTGAGAAATTACCTTTACATGTCACAGGAATACTTAACCTGCCAAAGGCCCAAACTAAGACAATTTAGGGTAGGCAGAAAAAGTTTGCTCTGTTGGGAGAGCAAGTTCCCCTTTGTACAGTATCTTATAACCTCAGTGTCATGATTCAGTCTTTCACATATCAACAGTACAGTAAGATAAAAAACATTTTTTTCAGGACAGACACACACGGGTCTATATAAAAATGTTTGAGATGAAAAGCTACTTAAATCAGGGTTGATGTCACTAGAAATCTATGCTTCTAGCTCCTTCCTTGTTGGTAAGCAACAATACTGTAGATCAGGAGTGGGCAAAATGCGGCCCACGGGCTGGATGTGGCCTGCCAGGCCATTCTATCTGGCCCATGGGGCCCCTAAAAATTTAGAAAATTAATATTTATCTGCCCTGGGCTGCCTGTTATGTGGCCCTCGATGGCTTGCCAAAACTCAGTAAGCAACCCTCTGCCCAAAATAATTGCCCGCCCTTGCTGTAGATGTAATCCTGGCTCCAGTGAAGTTGATGGTAATTTTGCTGCTACAGAGCCTGAATTTCACACTACACTTCTGGCGTGGGACTTCAAGGATGTTGTTAAATTAGTAATGTCCCTTATATCCAAAGTACAGTTTAAACATCCTACATAGTCAAGTTACATAATTCATACTGAGCAAATAACAGACATTTTTAAACAAGGAATTTCCAGCACAAAATGATTCAAAAACCCAAGATTCCAGTCTTTTATTTCATCCTAAGATAATTACCCTTCAGTGATATTACTTTTAAGATAAAGACAACATGCTTGGGATTTTGAATACAACGAAAGCACAAGCAAAAATATAATACTTTGAAATGTGGGTAGGGATGTATTAAAATTCTGAAGAAATACTCTTAAAGTTTGTGAGGATCTTGTGATAGGAGAAAGGGTAGGAAAAGCTTGAATTCTTCCTTTATGTCCATTTTTTGGTTGCAGAGTGAACGATATCTAATCCCTTTTGGTGACACTGAAGCTAGAATCACCCGTTGTATGATACAGGGTGACCAGACTAGGCAACCTATTCCTGCAGCAGCTAGAAAATATTAATCATTGATTCCAGAACGCTACAAGATGACTGCTTTTTGCTGTGGGAAGGCATCATAATAATTAATGTGCCAAAGGTTTCATTACTGCTGGAGTGGATTTCCTAAGATGGTCCCATTTCAGCAATGCATCAGAAAATAACTGAGAAACTATTCTGCAACAAAGATGCTGGTATTTTGGGGGCTAGTGGAGAAGAAAGAATGAATGCAAATAAAAAAAGAGAAAACAAACGGTAGACCAAAAATTTTAAGTTATAAAAAACAGCTTGTGATTGTTATTTTATAGTACAATTCTTTGGAGACATTATTAACGTGATTAAGGATTAGCAAGAATTGTGAGGTAAAGTAGTATCTTTTATGACTAACTTGTACTGTTGGGAGAAAGAACCTGCTGGGCATCAAATACCCTTCATCAGGCCTGGCAAAGCAGAAGTTATGGTTCACATTAGAACAACTGCTTTAGTCTGATCTAATTTTGCCAATCAATCATGTCCCTGCACCACTGCATTTACAACAACACTGCTACTAAGAAGCAGCCATATTTTAAAAATGTGCATTTTAAAACAGAGAAGACAGTGGATAAATAGGATTACAATTGTATGCTTTTTACATGACCATCCACTTACTTTCAGTAAAATATCTGCTAGAGAACCTATCACATGCAATGCTCCATCTTTCTTCCTTGGGTCAATGTTCGGCTCTGTTAAGATCTGATAACAAAATGCCATCATCTTTGGTAGTACCTAAACACAACAACAGAGAAAACATATTACTTTCCTTTCCTTCCAGGTGCCAGGCATCAATGAGCTATTCACATCAAACACATTTAATAATGTATTTTTTTGGTCAAGAAGTGCAATAGCTTTAAGGTTTTGTACAGTAACGAAGTTAGGTTTCCTATAACGTATTATGGAAACATAAATCTTGTCTTTCCCCAGTTAAAACTGACAGATCCATTATAACTGGGGGGGGGGGGGATTTCAGCACTGTCCCCCAAACTCAGCAAAATAAAATGCAATTTCTTGATTATAAGAGTATTTTTAAACTTCTGAAGCAAATCAGACAAGAGATCAGAAAACAATCATGTTCAACCTATGCAACAGTCTTACTTAATGGATCTTTCTTAACTTCTTTTCTGACCTGTCTTATATAAATTGCAAAATAGTTTTGACTAGAAATTCCAATCAATTTGTTGGTTTTGGAAAGGACTTGTGTCTTTGAGTAGATTTGGAAAAGTCTCTTTGCAGAACCATTTATTGAATGTAGTTTGTCATACATGTTATGCTCTTTGCAATCTTTATGCCATTCTGGAGGCTCTAATGCCATTTTGTCACAATGGGTGCATCTACACGTGCACTTTACTGTGGAGTTGACTAATTAGCTCTGCAATACAGTGTCACTGTATACACATGCACCAGTATTAGGGCTCGGGAAATTAACTAACTCCACCACAAAATAGTACTGTCAGGGACAAGTACTATCTTATGGTGTAGTAATTAAGTGTGACGAAATGCAAACGTAGATGGTGACAGGGGCTGGCTGGGATATGAGGCTGTAACGTGTGCAGGCTGCTGGCTGCATGGCTCCATGCTTCGGCATTCTCGTGCCCCAGCCAGCCCCTCTGATGCCACCACCCAGAGCCTGGGGCTGGCCCCCCCTAAGTTTGCCACCAGCCCAGGGCTGCCCCACAACTTGCATATCAAATGGGCTTAATTTTTTCCAACTACAAGCCAAGCAAAATTAAGTGTCAGGGACAAACTAACTTCTTTCCTTCTCATGTATCAGTACAAATAGCTCTGCAGGAAAGCTAGGTCCTCATTTATACCTATACAACCCCTTTGCTTTTAACAGTTTAGAACTTAGTAAATGTTTCTGTAGCTGATGCAGGAGAAGGAATCCAATCTGGCTCACTCCATTTTCACTGATTGTTTTAATCATTGACATCAGAAAAGATTATTCTGAATATACAAACGGAGCATATTCAGATGATGCCATATTTATAGTCACTGTTTAAAACAGAAGTGAACATCAAAGTTTTATCTAAAACTCAGATGAACTGTTCCACTTTACATATAAGGGTCAATCAATAAACAAGACACAAAATTGCTTGCCTATTTTTAACTTTCACAATTTCTAATATTTAATTTTTTTGAAGTCTCACCTGAACTGGCTTTTCAGGATAACGCCTATATTCTTTAAGAAAACCACATTATTGCCTCCAGGGCTTTTTTCCAATCTATTTGGCACATATTTTGTATTTTGACTTAAGCCAGAAGATACTAACAGATGAATGAGAAATGAAAAAATGCATCAGGGTAAAAGATACCCAGCTCTGAGAATTAATTTCAATCTTTTTGACTTTTGTTTAAAGTTCTAAGCCTTAGTTATTCAAAGTTACCTTTTTTAAAATATAGAGCTTTAAGCAAAGAAAATTTCAAGTCTATTTTCAATCAAATGCTTCAGAAAAATAATGAAGGCCACAATTTGCTACAAAAATGAATCAGCTGGAAGACTAGGGATTACTAGCCAAGATGCACAATACTTGTCTTGGATATATCCAACAATACTAGAGATGCACTGATACATCAGTCTGATACTGGATCAGCACCAATATAAAGAAAATTGTCTATATAGGTAATTGGCCTGATAAATGGGCCGTACATGTACGCAGCCGCAGTGCAGCATGTAGGCAGTGAGGAGCACAGCTGGCAGCATGGAGAGCTGCATGGGGCTGGTAAGACTGGTATGGTGGAAGGGGACGGGCACGGGGGGCAGATCAAGGCCCCCCATGGTGAGGAGGAAGTGGGGAAGGGGCTGGAAAGTGGGGAAGGGGGCACAGGACAGAGCCATGGCTTGTCCGGGGGATTTGGGGAGAGGGGAGGCGTGGGTTCCCACCACTGCTCCTGCCACTCATCTGGGAGGGCATGGGGGGAAGGCGGAGTGTCCCCGCATCTGGGAAGGGCGGGTGGCAGCACTGGGAGGGGGGGACTACAGGGTGGCTACAGCTATTTTTGGGGTGGCTGCATCCCCCGCCCCCCCACAGCCCTCACCACCACCTGCCCGGTGCTGCCCTGGCCACAGCCCACCCTGTCCGTGCCCCGCACTGATCTGGGGGGCACATGCCCCCCACGTGCCCTTCTGGGGTACACGCAGCATCACGAGCCACACCCCCCCTCTCCCCGGATGAGTTGCAGCTCTGTCCCACGCCCTGGCCCATCCCAGCTGGGCAGCACCTGTCCCAGCCCCACCCTCTCCCTCACCACAGGGGCTTTAATCTATACCCCCCATGCCCCTTCACTCCCTCCTCCCCTTCCACCACAACAGACTTACCAGCTGCATGCAACTGTATTGGAAATGAGATCAGGATTGGCCAATATGCCTCCTTAAAATCAACAATCAGTATCAGCCCCAAAAATCTCTATCAGTACACCCTAACCAATACCATGCCCTTTCCAATTTAAAAAAAAATAGCCCTTACAGTAATTAATACCAGTCATTTTCCACTTCCAATTCATATGCTAGATCTGGACCCCTGAGCCATTATCCCTGAGGATTATTTGGCCCATGGGTCACCCACTGTCATGCAGAGTTGCTCTGCAGCTGGATCCAGGAGAACAGGGTTGGGCAACACATGGGGCTAGGCCAGTGCACCAGATCATACCTGTGAACCAACCCTGCACTCTAACTTCATGCTGGATCCAGTTTGTGGACCAGCTTTGTGCCACTCACCTGGGCTGCAGGGCCAGATGAGTTGAACACCATTGGTTAATACCAATGCCAATCAACATGTTACACTTTTTTACATGCAAGTTATTATTGCTCTCCTTTTCTTTGTACCTACTTTCCTTTCCAGGTTTCATTCTATTTCTCATCTTTTTGTCCTCTCCGATAAAAATTCCTGGATTGTCTATCCTTTCCTGTTCTGTCTTCAGCATGCCTCCTTTTCCCTTTTTCTATACTTTGTCCCTTGTACTTTACTAGCCTCTCCTCAAATGGTTCTAAATGTTCTAAATTAATGTACCCAAACAATGTCTCTTCCACCTAGTCCCTTTACATTCCCATATATCTTTACCCATTCACACAAAATTGTCATACACTTCACATTCAGAAAACCACACCTATTAGCCAAATACTAATATATAAAAATAAAGGAGGATCATCCCTGTCCCAGTGAAACATTCAGGTCAGAAACAGAACATCCATCTTACTAATGGAAGACAGGGAAATGTTAGAATTTCTATCACGGTGCTTTCCTTGGAACCAGCTCAGGAATAATGTGCCTTCTTACCCTCTAATGTATAGGTAAATAATAAAAACAAAGCCCTCAGTTCCCTCTACCTGCTAGAAGAGAGAAGTATTATTTTGCCTGGCTCTCTTCCTACTCAAGAGCTGGGAACTGGTGCTGCAAACCGGTTATGTGTGGTGGCAAGGGATTTCTTCCTCTTCATCCCACCAACTTTTTTTGGGTCTCCTTCCCCTTTAAGGAATTCCAATGCCTGCCTCTTACACTGCTACTTTGAAGCTTTCCCTAGAACAGGGCTTCTCAACCTTTTCAGAGTCTGGGCACCCATTCACAGCTTTTTGCAACGCGGTGGCACCCCCGTTGAGAACCACTGTTGTTGTGCTCAAGTGACCTCAGTGGTTCTCAGCTGGGTAACTTTACCTCCAGGTAAAACTGCCCTGCATGTCTCTTCCACAGCCAGACAGGGGAGGACTGTGGCATGTGTGCATACTCCTCCTGCATTAAGGTCCTCTGATAACCCTGAAGTAAGGAGAAGAGCTGCCTCATGCTGCAGCCTTTCCCTAACCCTGCAAGCCTCTCCCCAAAACAGAGACATATGGGACAAGCAGACCAGCCTCATGAGTCTGTGTTTCTAGGAGGAGCATGGGGAGTGTGTGTGTGTGAAGAACTTCAGCAAAAGCCAGATCTCCTGTCTGCTCTAGGGCTATCAGAGCACCCTAATGCAGGATGAAGGCATGCATACGACAGCCCTGTGTAAGGGGCAGTTTTACCTGGATGCTGCAGCAACTGTAATTCAGCACCCCAATTGGTTCCCCAGTTGAGAATCAGTGTCCTAGAAGCAGCTAAGTGAAATTAACTTTCTTCTTCTTGTCAATATTGCGGTCAATAGCAGTAAAAATTAACACGAATCGGGTCAGATCTCCTTCTGCCATAGCTTAGGAAACTCTGAGCAGCAATGGCAATAAGATTGTTTAAACTCAAGAAGATATCACTGCATCTGCCTGAAGTCAGTTTTATTTTGCAATTTCATTGGGCAATTGCAAGGGCTGAAAATGTGTTTAAAAAAAAAAAACAGATGTTTTGATTCTGCTAAAGTTGATAGCACTTCCCAGGAAAAAGTCTGACTGTTTATTACCATGTGGATTTTCCAAATCCCTGGGATGATGCAGAACCACTTGAGTAGAAAGGAAACCATTTTAAGAAATAATAAAATGTCATGAAAAAAGAATGCCTTGGTACCTCTTTTCTCTTCTTTGCTGCAGTATAGAGGAGATTCTGTGCTGCTGTCGTAGGGGATGCATAATCCTCAAACACATCTAACAACATTTAAGAAAATGTTTTCAGTCACTGAATATTAAGTGTAATAAGGAAATGATGATAGATTTTCTTGAAATATATTGTGCAATAGAGCAAAGGATGTCACTGAATCAGGATGAGAACAAAATTGATTCCTGACATTCTTCGTTCTATGAACTAAGACAACAGAATTTAAACAGCTTTGAAAATGTTGGTTGGCCCCCTATCCTCCCTACAAACCAAGCACCTGTGTAACTCTCTTTTGTGGAAGTTTATTTTTTATCTGAAGTAAAAGAGAATGATGGCAGCATTCTTATTTTTTAACAACAAGAACAGTAACAGCTCCACCTTGCTGCCATGTACCATATAAACAAGATGGGAAATCTATTTTAGCTTAATTTCATTAAAACCTCATGATAAGCTCTTCAAACATATCCAGATGATACTTTTGAAACTACTGAAAGATATTTTTTTAGCTTTCTTCATTATAACAAGCCCTCCTTTAAACATACTGACAACATATTTCATATCCTGAAAAATTCTTCTATTTGTAAAAGACCTCTAATATGAATTCTTTTCATTCGGCATCACTTAACAGAAATGGGACAAGGTCTAGAAGTAAAAAGTTAACCTTCAATTTGGTAAAAATAAAATGTCTCTCCTAAAACCACTGACTAGTTAAAAAAAAAATTGGGAAGTTTCAGTAATGGAAAAATTGTCCTATCAAGTCCGTGTTCTATAGGGAAAAGCTTACTTGGAAATCTCGTGGAAATGTTTGGAACTTGCTAAAAAAAGAATCTCTCTGCATCTAAACCGCAAAATCTGAGAAACCTTTTTGAGTGTTGAAATACAAATTCTGAGTTAACACTTAAGAATAAATTTAGAAAAAATTTAAAATGTAAAAGCAGAGATGAGTAGGAGATAATGAGATTTGTGTTATGCAGTGTTCTAGGAAAAAGGAGGAGGTGAATTATTGTACAGAAATGAAGAAACACAAGGGCTTGGCATTGACAGAAACAATGAGGAGACTGGTGGGAGGAGAGGAAAGGAACACAAGACTTCTGTGGACATTGATTTGGGTCGTGATAGCACTGTTGATATAAGATGAATGTCTGTGTATCTTTCACAGATTGGATTTTTTTAATGCTATATCTTATTTTATGGGTTGGATTCATTAATAAAGTTAAAAACATTCTATTATTCCTGACATTTCTAAGATAAAAATCAGAGCAGAGAAAATACTAACAATTATTTTAGTTTCCAAACTTCAGTATTTCTCACTAATCTATTCTACCTTATGGCAAAAATAAAAATAGAATTTGGTGTCTGTAGCTGAAAAACTAGATTCAGAGGTATATTAATAATCTTTTGTGATGCTTTTTTCCTTGTAACAAATTTTCAGATTCTGTTTTCCATCATTCCAAGAAAATATAGCTAAATTTCACACTTTTTGATATATTAACTAGGGAAAAAAGGTAGAACACCTCTTTGATGCTCAGTTTGCTAGACTTTTCAGCTGAATTTGAATTCACTGTACTTTGAAAACACTTCTTCAATGGGACCAATTGTGTAATGGAAATAAGTGGCTCATACTATAAACCTGGGGGAACGAGAGATTATTTCTTTGTTGCATTTCTGCACTTTGTCTTTAAAAGAATGCATATGCCTAAGTTATTCAAATTTAGTAAAAACAAAAACTCCAGCAAACACTCAAAATATGACCAGCCTTGAATAAGGAGAGAACAAGTCAGGCATTCTGAACAGAGTTCCAGTGACTCACAGAAGGGTGTCATGTATAACAAATAATAATTCAGGGATTTTCGGGTGGAGTTAAAGGCTACATAGAGACATTCGAGAGGTTAAATCGGGTTCAAAATGGCAGCCAAATTTAAATTTAGCTCTTTCTGATGCCGACCTTACACTTACAGACACAGTTCCAGTGACTAGCAGTCAGTGTAAATGTGTAACTGTACAGAAGTTCCATGGATACAAACCAGTTTAAAATTGCAGAACCCAGTTTAAGATAAACCTGGATCTATGCAGTATCAGACTCATTCAATTTAGGTCAAACTGGTGCATGGAACTTCTGTACACTTCCCCTGCACAACCCCGGGGCTGGGAAAACCCAGCCACCGGCCCCAGCCTTGGGGCTGCTCTTTTCACTCCCCTCTCCCCCCACACTGGTCTATTTTTTGCCTCCACCTCCTCTAGCCCCTTGCTCCCTGCCCCCAGCCAGTGCTCTCAAGCCCTATACCACAAGCCATGCTGGATGCAGCTATTTTTATCAGCGCTCAGCCGGTGGCAGGAGGAATGGGGGTGTAGGTTCACTTGGGGGACCCCACCCCACCCCACCCATG